TAATCTCTCAAAGTTTTTAAACTTTATTATTTTTTAAAAAAATATTATTTTAGTCCTTCAACACCACTAATATCAAAGTATATATAGAGATTAAAATAATATTTTTAAAATTATAAAAATTTATAAGATAAATTTTAAATTTGATGGACCAAAATAATAATTTTTGAAATTTTGAGAATTAAAAATATGAACTTTAAATTTGAAAGATAAAAAATATTTATACTTCAAATTAAAAATTAAAAACATAATTAAGCTTAAATTTAATTGACGAAGTCTGGATTTAAAAATATAAGGCTTCGTAAAAATATATTAATTTCATTTTAAATCGGTTAAACTTTTGAAATAGCTAAAATAATTCCACAATCTATACGCATAATTTGACATTATAATCGGAATGATGCTTGACTTGAGTCTGCTTGTGTTATTTGAATGATTCATATTTTTTTAGTTTGTCAAAGGTAATTCACTATCATTAAGAGATTTAAAACATTCATAGTTAATTAGTAAAGTAAATTACACGAGATTTTACACACACATCTGGCTTCTTCTATCTATATACTAATTCTCGTAATTGTTAAAAAAAACAAAACACTATCATCCTTTAAGTGTCTCTTATTAGAGAGGTTGTTATAAGCATTAAAAAAATACAATTATGTACAATCTCGTCAAACCTTATTAAATGTTAATATTATTTACTATAATTAGTATCTTTTCAATGACATAGTTAGAATATGAAAAGAGTTAATCACCTATACATTGTTATTGTCGGTATAAAAGGCTTTAATTATGTGTAATATCTTCAAACTCGTCGCGTATCAATCACTCTCCAATCTCCATTTGAAGCAATTTTTGCAGTGCACGACATATAATATATATATATATATGCATCAATTAAAGCCTATAAGCTTGCAACAATTTAGAAAGCGACTGAAATTCAAGTCTTTGATTAAACCAAATAACGACATAATATTCTAGACTTTTTCAAATATGAAAACTTGCATTTCAAACTTCCTTGGTTTGCATGGCCATTGGCCAAACTAGATCCACACGCAACAACACCAAATCAATTTTAAACACAACACAACAATTCATTGATTGAGGCGTAGAAAAGAAACTGAGTTTGGCTAGGGCGTGGAACAACTGCAACTTTAGAAAAGATCATTTTTAACACATAAAAAAAGTTTATTTCAATTTAGGGAGAAACCCTCTCAATAGGGGTCAATATGCAAAAATTGGCTATACTGGATTTTCTCTCACAATAAAAAAAATCAAGCACAATAATCAAAACCAAAAGAAAAGGAGTGAAATAAAGCTTACAAAGTCACAAAAAGTGAAGAATGGAGATAAATTATTGAAAGTGCCCTTCTGTTGAATGCTTTGCAAATACATTCTTCCATATGTAGTCAATGATTATGATATGATATTTGTATGTATTGTGTTGCTTGTTTAAATGGGAGAGTACAAAATGAGATTAACAAAGCATTGGCTTGAACTTTAACTCTTTAAGTTTACTAGGAGATTGTGTTTTTTAATGAATATTTTGCAATATTTGTCTAAAAGTAACTTGATACAACTTCTTTTCTAAGAAGTAGAGGCATGGATTGTCGATGGTAACAGTTTTTAATGAAAGGCTCTTACTATTAATTACAATTTAAAGCATCTGCATTTTGAAAATTTAAATGGAGAATCAATTTGAAGTTAAATTGTGGCACGGCTGTCAACAGTTAAATTTTTACTAAAATTAGTCATAATAAATATCGTAAATTAATAATATAATTAAAAAAAAATGCCACAGTCTAGTATTTTCTGCTGAAAATTAAAGAATCAGAATATTATATATTAGATTTTAAGTAATTATAGATATATCGAAATTTTTTAAATTTTAACATCAATTGTTTATTTGTCATCGCATGATATATGTCCCAATATAGGCACACCAAAAAAATATTACCCAATATATTACTTTAGTATACTAAGAAATTAAAGTTAACATAAAGCCAAAATTTAGGGTTGAAAAGATATACTTTACCTACCTTCACGTCCTTATATGGATAAATAGGAATATAGAAAATAAAAGCTACAATAGTACAATGCACTACATTGTCGCTTCCTTTTTCAGTTTTAATTGCCGTTCACAATTGTAATAAATAAATTAAGAAAAATAATTAATATTCTCATTTTTACTAATTTCCTATTATACATTGGTATTTATTTATTAATCAATTTTTTTTTGTCATTTTTTTCATTTGTCTTTCTTTAATCTTGTGATAAATTTATGAAATAAAAAAATTAGGTAAAAATAAGAATATAACTGATAAATGATAAATAAAAAAATTAACTAAAAAGTTGACACGTATAAGAGAACAAAAAAAAATAATATGTATAAATCTTATTAAGACGTTGCCTTGTACCAAAATAAACCTTATTCAAGAACTAGCGTGGCTCCTCTACACACTTTAATGCATAAAGTATATTTATAATGCCAAATAATTCTTGGACAACAAATTTTAGAACCAAAAGAAACAGGAAAAAAATAAATTTAGAATATAACAAATAATTAAGAAAAAAAAAATTGGAACGAAATATTATTAAATAAATTATTGCATTTATATTACATTTATAATTATAGGCTTGTTAATCAATGGATGAATTCGCAATAAAAATCAAGTTTATCAATTTCATGCTTATCTTTGATATTACAATCTCAAATTATTTATTATTAAGTCATTGGATATTGATACATTTTATTCTTTAATGTGTAAATTAGATTCCTATAACTTTAAAATTTAAATAATTAGATATAATAAAAGCACTTATTAGTTAGTCACCTTTAAAAATAATAAAATAAATCGTTTTCTACCTTTTTAATACATTTGTCTAAACTATTTTCTAAGAGGAAAACATAATTTTTCACTTTTGTTTTAAAAAAAAAAACAATTTTGCTTCTAAAAAATGATTCTTATAATTTTTTTTAATTTTAAAAAAACTGCCCCAATTTTAAACCACAAAAACACTTGATTGGCATGAAATTGATAGGTCCAAAATGTGTATAATTAGCGTAAGAATATCTTATTACATTACATTCATTTCTTGGAGGAACTTTACCTTTTCTGGGAGAGGATACAAAACGCTCAACAAAACAACTCTACAGTATTATGTGCAAAGACCATAAGAAATGCTCATGAAAAAAGAAGAGAAATCTTACCAAGCATTTGCTATAATAAAAAACATTAACTGACTATTTTGCATTAAAGTTGATTTTGGACGTAGATATGGTGAGTTTCTAGGCAGAAAAAATGTCCTTTTCTTCTATGACATGACACTTGTTTTCAAAGAAAACAAAAATTCAAGTCTGCATTTTGCTCGATGCCCATGTGCTCCAATTTCCACAATTGCATGCATGCATGCTTACCATTGAGACCTTAAAGAGCACCATCACCATCATTGGCCGGTTGGAATTCCCAGTGGAGAAATGTTCTTTTATATGCCTTTTTTGGGATGACAGAGAAGCCATGCATTAATTATGCCATACAAATTTGAAACTGCAAATAGCCAACAAAAACAAACATACAATTCCTCATCATATCTGTTCCTGAAACATTGAAAAACAGTTCCTCCCCCCTTCTTAACAGAAACCATTTGCAATCAATATATTGTCTACCTCTAGAAGAAATCAAACTCCAGATAATTATCAGAACCACCTTTCTGATTAGCTATTGACATGTGATGGTTAACAGCTTTTTCACCACCTGATGAGGCTGGGGAGGGTATCTTCTCAAACTCCACAGCCTTTGGGATCTCAGGAGGGGTGGCACAACGGATCAGCGCCCAATTCACACCTTCAAAAAAGGGGTGTTGCTTAATCTCAGTAGCACCTCTTTTATATGCCAATCTGTGCTGTGGTTCCTTCACAAGCAAACCCCTTATGAGATCCCTTGCTGCAAAACTGACAACAGGTGCTTCGGGAAATCGCAGTGGCTGGCCTACAACATTGAACAATGTTGCTCGGTTGCCGGATCCCTTGAAAGGAGTTTTACCAAACAACAGCTCGTATAAAAAGATCCCAAAAGTCCACCAATCCACAGCACTCCCGTGGCCTTCACCCTTGATGATCTCAGGTGCCAAGTACTCGTGAGTTCCAACAAATGACATGGACCGAGCATCAGTAGGCTCAGCGATGAGCTCAGGTAACGGACTCACTTGGTTGCCGATTTCAGTTTTGGGCTTGCGCTCCTTCTTTGATTTGCTGGAGAAGAGGCGTGGTGAAAAGCATGTAGTAGGAGCAACACAGGATGGCTGGATGCAGGAAGGTGGCTCAATGCATGCAGGTTGGACACAGTACACAGGATTCTTTCTTAAAGGCTCAGAATCCATGGATGAGGTTTTAACAAGGGTCGGACTAACAGCACATCGGAGGGAGAGGTCAAAGTCAGAGAGCATAATGTGTCCATCGTCCCTAACAAGGACATTTTCCGGCTTAAGGTCACGGTAGACAATTCCAAGCATGTGGAGGTACTCCAAAGCCAGTAGAACCTCCGCCACATAGAATCTGCAAGTTATGAGGAAATTAGCAGTGTTACCATCAAATCAAATTAACATAGTTGATCAAAAGCCATGTGTACTGAGTAAAACATTCCGGTAAAGGACTAAGCAGATGCCCAGGGTTGTTTAATATTAATGACGATTGACAATTAAGACTACCACTTTATTTATCTTTCCACAAACATCCTTTCAAAGATTCACTATTAATTACTCTGGTTGAGGTTATGTATTTGTATGGACATTTGGAAAAATCAAACCCACAATTTAATATCTGAAATTGTCTGGAATACGTTATTTGACCTTATATAGGACTTGAATAAAACAAGAGGCATCATAAAATGGAAAGTAAACCATGCATATATGCAAATCCACATGTAAAGGAACTCATATCATGACCTCCAGCTACACTTTTCATGCTTGCATGGTACAGGAGGATTTTACGCTTAAAATTCAATGTTCTTTACATATCAAGTAATTAGTCATAGATGCTAGAATAATTATAAACAGGTTATGCATACAAGGATAAAGTAATCTAAGCATTGGAATTTCTTCAATATAGCAACAATTGGAGCAACAAAGATACATGGGAGCACAAATAAGGATGATTTCACTGCAACTGCCTACAATAAAATTCAAGGGAATACACAGGGAAAATTCTAAAAAACAGTAAAAATATAAATGTTAAAGTTGTAATTACAACACTGAGAAGACTGAAAACTAGTTCCTTTCTCAGTGGACTATAACAAGCCAGAAAAGCATCGCATCAATAATTGGATTTTTCACACTATATAAGAAAAGAGGGGAATTCATAAGGAGAAATACAGTGGGCATTATAATTTATAACCAGTGTGAATGAACCAAAATTAAGTTATAACTTAAAACATACTTTACTGCCTGCTCAGGAAAATGCTTCCCTGGTTGCTTCTGCCTAAGAGTATGGAGATCTCCGCCGGGGCAGAATTCCATCACCAAGCATGAAAATTTCTCTGTCTCAAAATGGGTGTACAAAGTTGGGAGAAAAGGGTGGTCAAGAGACTGCAGAATTTCCCGTTCTGTCTGAGCTCGAAGTAGCTTTTTGCGACTTGCTAGGGACCCTTTGTCCATTACCTTCATTGCAAAGTAACATTTAGTTCCACTCAACTCAGAGAGATATACACTTCCAATATCTCCACAACCCAGCCTCTTCAGTAGCCTAAAGTGACCTAACCCCAACACCCCATCTTTACTTCGAACTAATTGGATAGCTTCCCATCTCAAGTCATTTGCCTTGTGAGGCTTGTTTATGCTGCTACTAAAGCTACTACAAGTACTTTCATCACTCACATCACTGCTTGTGCTTCCTCTGCAAATACTGCTCTTACCACTCTCAACAAAATCAGCCCGGTCACTGATCTTGGCACTTCCACTTGTCTTTGCAAGACTGCTGGCCCCATCACTAACTTTGGCAGAAACAGAACTGTTCTTCACACTTCCATATTCCAACGCCTTCTTGTCTTGATCAATTGCGCTTTCCTGTGAGCCTATGTTCTCCTTAGCAGCAGGATCCACATTGTCGAGAACAGATGAGGAAGCACCAGAACCACTTTTATTGCTCAAGGAATCAGCAGACCCCTTTTGGACTGAAACCCCTAACTTCTTGGTTTCAGCAGTTTCCCCAATATTCTGCTTGGACTTCGATAAATCCTCAGGAGCAGCCAGCTCAGTCTTCGCCGTCTTCAGCGACGAAGAGCTGGCGTCTTTCACCTCAAGGGTTTGAATCCCGGCCGTCTTCTGATGGTGTTTAGGGAGAGCTCTAGAACTAGTTTTTGAGTCCATCAGAAATGCTAAATAGTTTCAATTGGGATCAAATTGACCAAATCCATGGCTTAGCATCCATTGATATCTTCAAAAATAAGAAACAACCTATCAAAGGCATCAACATCATAAACAAGAAGTCAGCCCTCTCCCCACAGTATAAAAAAAATAATAAAAGAAAACAGTTTAACAATAACATGTTGACAGATATTCATCAACCAATCCATTAAACAAACACCTTAAACACCAATAAAATCAACACACAACTGCCTCACATTCAACAACAGACAAACAGATCCATCAACAGGTAAAACCAAAATAGTGCCTCCCACTGACACATAACAACACAAGCGCATCACAACATAACCTAAACACAAGATAATTAACCAACCAAAACTTCAAACTCCACCCGAGTGGTAAACCACATGCTATAATACTCACGACCAACAGCGGACACAACCTAAGACCCATTTACCAAATCAAAGCATACATCCCTAGCAAAGTTGCATGCAGAGCATGATCAAATTAGCAAAGCACAACAGTGATGGAACACCAACAAGACAAGAATCACCCCAAAAGCCCAAAAAAAAAGAAAAATACAGAACAACCACAAAGGGTTGGACTTGGAAGACCGATAAAAGAGTAAAGTAAGAGTCAAATTCAACGGAGAATGAAGCTTTTGGAGAGATAAAAGGGTACTAGGGTGGGAGGGAGGAGGGGAATTACCAGAAGCAGGAGCAAGAGAGTGATCCTGAGAGAATTGAATAAAAAATGGATCTTTACGAAGGAAACGTGGTGTAGAGTAAAATCTGAAGCAGATCCGAAGCGAGAGAGAGAGACCCAGATGAAAAAAAGAGTTGAAGTTGGTGGGTTATGGAGAAAACCCAGGATGGGGAGAGAAGAATTGGAAGAGGGGAAAGTAAGAAGAGAACAAAAGAGTACCTAATTTGAAGGATCAGAACACAGCTTCGTTGCTTTTGCAGAGAGAGAGAGAGAGAGTGTAGATAGGGAGCTGGTGGTAGCTTAGGCCATAGAGAGAGAGAGGTCAAAGGTAAAGCAAAGCTTTTTTCTTCATTCAATAATTTCAATGGTTTTTTGTCGCCAAAACCAAGAGAGGTCCAAATCACTAAACAGTTCTGAGGTCTTGCACCTGTCTGTCATGCCTTTGCCCAAATAATTCTTTTCATTTTTTTTTTATTTTTTTATTTTCCTTTTTTTAATAAATAATTTACATAATATTTTAAAATTAATAATTAAAAATTAATTTATATTTACGAGACATAATTTCTATTAATCATATAAAAGTATCACATTAACGTATGTGTCGTAGGCAATTTTTGCAACCATTAAAAGATTTGGTTAATAGTATAATAACATTATTTATTTGTTTTCATATTTTTCTTATCTTAAAATATAGTTTAAATTTATTTGTATCATTTAACTAATTAGTTAGATTCAAATTTTAAATTTTTCAAACAGCTAAGGAGATTATCCTTATATTTTTGAGAAAATATTCTCAATCGTGAAATAAAAAAAAAATTATAATGTTTAGTGAATATCAATATCAATATATATTATCTTTATATTTTTCAGAAAGGTGAGTGCTAATTATGGATTAGTTAAAGAATTAAAAAAATCTTTTTATTAAAGCACTTTTAATAGTATATCTCAACGTAATTTTTAATTAATGACTTTAGAATATTAATTAACAAAAACCTTAAAATAGACCATTTTTTGTTTTAGTACCCGAGTTTTAAAATCATAAGTTTTAATTTCATATTTCTGAGATATTTAAACTTTAGTTTCTGTAGATAACATTAAAGAGAAAATCTTATAACTTTAAATACTAAAATTTGGATATTTTAAAAGTAAGGGAAAAAACTTGTGGTTTTAAAAGTTGAGAATTACAATCAAAAGAAAAATTATTTTTGAAGGACTAAAATCACGATTAACTCTAAAACATATTATGTGAGGGGTGATAGGACTCAAAAGTAAACGTACACAAATTCTTTTAACGTCAAATGATGTGTTTATAGGTATATATATGGATAAATAAACTCAATATGTTTCCTTATGTTTTAAAATGACTTGAAAATCTTAATTTGTTTCTTAATATTTCAATGGAATTCTTAATTAAAGCCAATTTAGAGGTTGATTTACGAGGAAAAAGGCATTTTTTAGATGATGTGACAGCTGTTATTAGAATAAAAAATAGTGAATTGAATCTTGGATTGAATTTTATGAAATATTCTGCTCATATGTCAACAGGTTTTGTGCTAGAAGGGCTAGTTAAATTGTTAATAATTGAATATTTTCATTTAAAAACTCAGAACTCACATGGTGTTGAGGGAGAAAGTGTGAGGAGGTTGAATAAGACGACAACTTCCCTATAGTGTGGAGAATCTAATAGGTTCTGGCCATGCTACCATCCTATGTTCTTCCATCAAAACCAAAATTCAACCCACAAGAAATTATGAGAAGCAAAACTAAAACCACGAGGAAGGAAAAAATGAAGGTAATATATAAATAATTTTCCTATAGACAATAATTGTTATTATGATTATGTTTGCATTGGTCATTTGATGGAAATACAAATTCCCATCACTTAAGCCGACATGAAGATTTTTGGTTGCCTAAAATGGGTGCTACTTTCCCTTGCAGTCAATAAAATCACCAAGTAATGGACCAACGGTCGATGGAATGTTTGGGTGATCCAATGAAAAATAGAGGTGTATCTATTACTGAATCATCCATGCCATAAGTTTTGGTGGACCAACCATTGCATACCCATTAAAGCTTTTGATTATTGTTATTATTGTTATGTACGTACCAAAACAAGTGGCTTTAATTTCATCGTGAAATAGGACCTATAGTATAATACAAGGGTTGGTTTGTAAATAATAAGAAAACCCCTCTCACGTCTCACCAATTACCTTAATTATTCTCACTGTCTTTGCAATCCTAGCCAAACAGGGCCCAGATCCTAAATGCCATTCCTATGATGGTACAAGGGATCACACAAGGATCACTCAAGCCCTATATGTGAAAGAGAAACCATATAGGCTGATGCATTAATTTATAAGCTTTTTATCCAAGAGTTTGGCTCAAATTGATTTCATTAGTGTATAGAGAGAGCATTAACAAAGTGGTCTAGGGGCTCATTTTCTGGCTTTGCACAACTGTATAAGGTCCCTATTGAGTATGAAATCTCATAAATAATAACAATGAAGGTGGTTGGAGTTCATTTTCCCATTTTCCCACAACTTTCCCCCTCAAATAATAAATAAATAAACAAAACTTGGCCTTAATTAATCCTTTTTTGTGTTTCATGTAATCCAAATATCTCTCTTTCCAAAAAGTATCTAGATACCTCTACCCTGGCACATCCACAAAAACCTTTTTCTTAATTTGACAACCAGGATGAGATGTGCTTGCGCCAGAAACCAAGCAAACAAGTACACATTTATGTGTCCAAATATGAACAACTGGTTTTTTAACCCAAATCTGGGTTCAGGGTTTAAAAGAAGAATGTAAATTTATTTGGAGCTATCACTATAATTCCTCCCTTAAATATCCACCACAAAATTGACACTAGTCAATAATAATAATATAACACATACCATGCCCCTTATATATAATATTTTATTTAGGATATGACAAAAAATGTCCACTTCAAACATCAACCAAATGTTTCTTTCTATACTTTTGCTTTAATATAATATTTTTCTAACACTAGTTACGTATGAGCAATTGAGCACCAAATGGGAAAAATCAAAATACGTAATTCAGAATCCTAGTGTATGAAAAACGACAATAAATGAACTTTGAAGAAGTGTGACTTTAATTTTTACCAATGTTTTGTTTGATTGCTCATGTAGTGGACAACTTTCTTGGTTCGTGTCTTGTCTAGAGTCATTCAGCAATAGTCACATGGGGCAATGAAGGCTTTCAACTTAGAGATTAACATTAGGATTATTATTAGTGGGTTTTGGAATTTGACTCATCAATTTAGTACCCATGTTTCGGTCCCAAACTAAAGGCACTTCACGCTTCTATGGTCCTTTCCCTCTCTCAAACAGACACTTTGTTTTCTCAGTTGCTTTCCTCTTTTTTATAGACCCTCCCCACCCTAAAAATGGTTTTTCCTCGGTCAAACCAAACTTTATTTGGACGATTTTTATCCCTTCATGTCTAGGCTTTTTTCGTTATGGAAAATGTTGAATCATGATAAGATTTTTCCTTGCCTTTTATTTTTCTAGGTTTGGAAACGTGTGATGTCTTGAGAGTGAGTGGAACCAAACTAAGGCACCTTTTCTCAAATACAAAAATAGTGTCAGCTTTTTGTAATTTAAGTTGCACAAGAGTATACATTTCGTTTCAGAATTATTTATTTTAAAAGTGTTAGTTTTTCTGTACTCAGTTTTAAAACATGGCTGCTAGTACAACAATTTTCAACAAGAACACCACCGTGGAGATGGAATAATTGTGAAATTTATGGTACGAGTCATTTAATTCTAAAAATTCGGTTTCAGTAAAGTCCAACCAAACAAAGAAAGGGAAAAAAAAAATTTAATTGTCTGTCCATCACAGTTTACAAGCTATGACTTGCAACTTTTGAATCTTGAATCCAAAAAGATAACACCTAAGGATAACGTTGTGTGTCAATTGAGTATTAATAATCAACCCATGGAACGTGAGAAATTGGATCACAATCTCAGAAACCGACACAGACTTGAAAAGTTTTAGCATAGTTTATGGGAAACAAATTGTTAATTAAAATTTAGTGATAACATTGTGTGATGGGGCACTTTTTGAGCTTTTTAGGACATTATTGTGGCCTTCTAAACCAATGCAAGTTGAGGAAGCCTTTGCATATGTTTCTACTTAGCACTTACCCTACTTTCAATTTTCACTTCATGCAATGAAACAAGATATAGGAATACTAAACAAATGCATAAACCATAGAAAGGGGAAATTAAGTATGAGAGAAAAAACAAAGCAGATCTGAGCTCCATGCATAGAGGTGCGAGCATGCCCACATGCAGCTCTATCTGTATTTTGAATTAAAACTAGCAGTTTTATGCAGTGGTCCTCTACCCCTTGTTCATATTAAACTCATCATTATAGTTTCTATGATTAAATATTACTGATATTATATGAGCAGCTACCAAATGGTAGCAGCAGTACAATTAGATTTTGACATGTGGCATGCATGTGAGTCTTGGGCCCCTCAACATGATTTACATATATAGTTTTTTTTAAGAAAAAACTTTGGGTCTCTACAAAGTTTGAATTGTTTTTTGTTTTACTGGTAGAAGGGAATATATTCCTTCAAGCGGGAGACTCTGATGATTCAGAGTTTGATAGTCTCACCTAGCAGAAAAAGCTTTTGAGAAAAAGCTTTGGATATGTGGGATTTGGCTGCTAGCTTCACTTTTTAGTTTCTTTTGATGTCAAAATCTCTACCACCAAAGGAAGTGTTAAAATTTTTTGGCTTTGGCAATTGGTTGGATAGAATTTTGACTGCTACTGTGAGCCTGTAACCTACTAACAAGGCACAACTCAAGGTTTTGGCATGGCTACACGGTCCATATACCTTTTCCTTTGATGTCCCTTTCTCACACTTATCATCATTCACATCCTATTTGACCTGTAAACTGTCTGGAAAGGAAGAAAAAAAAAATGTGGACCAATTATGATAGTGAAACTTCTTTAATGTGGTTAGTGAGTTTAGAGTCATGCTTATCTTTTTCATTGGAATGATGGAATTTTAACAGCAAGGCAGAGTAATAGAGGAGTCAAGTTGAGTTCTCAAATATTGACTAGTTAAATATTTTACTAGATATACCATGTAAGATATTGTTTGACACCATGTGAACTAAGTAATTGTAGAACTGCATGAAATCTATATGGCTATTGATTGGTGCCACAGCCGAGGGATGCGGGAGAGTAAGAAGTCAGTTATTGTGACAGAACGCATCAGGAGAATATTCCTCATAATAGGACAAATCACAACACCCTTTTCTTTTTCTTTTTCTTTTTTTATCCAAAAGACCCTCCTCTATTTGAAATTTTAATGTGGCAATTCAGAGACTCGTCAGAGTATCCAGTTGTATTTGCAGGCCAACCCAAACATGAGCCCACTTTGAATTTGGATCAAATATCAGAGGGGCAATGGGCCAATATACCCAATGAGGGAAGGCAAGAATTAAGAAATTATTTTAGCTTAAAGAAAAATGAGATTGGTTGATAAACTAAATGCCAAGAGATGTTGCGAGTAATACCGGATTAGGCCTCCTTAAACAAAATCTCGAGTTCGAATGTTATATATAGAAAATTCGTGATTAAAAGAAAAAACTCTATTAAAAATATCAATCAAATTTTTCAACAAAAGTTAGTTATCAACCAAATCAATAGATACGTCATACTAAAAACATGATTAAAAAAATGACTAGAGGGCAATTATAAAAAAAAAAAATACAGATATGGTTGCCGATATTTTGGGTAAAGGGTGGGCTTACATGGTGACAAATCATAAGAGTAGAGGGAGATTAGTTTTGAAGGATTTTGTACCAAGAGATCTAATGTCCTTGTTACAACTTATGCTGTTATTCCTGATGTGGCTCATACCATAAAACCGTGACAAGCATGTGAATATTTAAATGATCATACATCGTACTGGGGAAAGTGATCGTGCAAGAAAAAATGGTGTGGCTACTAGATTCACGACTCTTTAGGACACTGATGTTTGTGAAGGTGAAATGTGACCAAGTGAACTCTACCAAAAATTTCGGGATTGAAATCTGAAGAGTCATCTTTCTGATGGGACTTTACCTATCCTGCCACCATCAAAGACCAAAATATCACGTGCCTATTCAAATTAATAGTCTTGTTCGTTCTACTTGAATTGGCAAGGGATGGAGCTTCGAAATTCAACCAGGCACTATTCATGATAGACCACCCAGACGATGAGTTTGTGTTTGTTCATTTGGAAACTTCTTCTATAGTTGAGGTTGGCACTTCTTAAAAGAGACAGGTCATAATGAAGTCTTCAGGTGGGACAGAACATCTTGCTGGAGATGTTGTGCAACATAATCCGGTTTCTGCGGATACATGATCTTGTACTAAGTTTTGTTACGATAGTCCTTCTGTCCTCCTTTACTGTGCTTAGCAAGAGTTGTTATCATGTTTATTTTATTTGTAACAGGAACAGATAGCTGTAGTGGGAAATCTTGGATAAGTTTTTGTCATCTTATGCTACAATAGCCATTTTATTGTCTGATTTTATTTGTAGCTTTATCCAGGACGTGCTTATACTTTTATACCACATGTAGTGATTTATTTTGGGACTTAAAACTTGCTTCTACATATTTCTTAATGTCCAATATCCAATGGGCTATATAACTCTACGAGCTAATTTGTGCCAAACATTGTTTCAGTTTTGGTTAGTTTACGTCTATTCTAGCGCCATTAATGCATTATGTTTCCTATTGTGGTCATCTGGCATTCAGGATATCCAAATTTCATCATAAACAGGGAAATAACACCATGCTGATGCGGGGTCCCTCAAACCACATCTAAAACTATTAGTGCATGTTTGTTTTCACTTCGCATCAATTTGGACATGGATCGGAAAAGCACTTATGACATGAAAATGTGAAAAAACGTGAATCACGGATTGAGTACCAAACACACAGACTTAATTCTGCAACGAAATTTGAGAACAGTTGAATTATGTGAACTAGGTGCTATTTTAAAACCATTACAACAGTAATGATTCTGATACACGGGAGAACTATTACAGCCTCCAATAATGGTTGGTGCACATCACCTCACACCAGAGTGAAGTATTAGAAATCCAGATGAGATCAGCAATAATTAGATTGTGCAAATCAAATAGATGTCCAATGAAGTATGCGTGAATCTGTAGAGCATTGTTCTATAATCTCAATGGGTCACCCAAGAATGTCTAAATTGGGAAGAAGCAATTTATGCTCCTGATAAGTCAAGCATATCAGAAATTTTGCTTGTATAGTAGTCAGGCTGAATATTATTTGAAGGGTCTTGTAGAACTGATTGAGTTGTGCAACCTGCTTGCACAATAAAAGTAATCACAATATGTTACGATAGACTTCTTTAGTTACAGCTATGATACAGAAAAAAAAAAAAAAAAAAAAAAAAAAAAAAAAAAAAAAAAACTGTTACCTGAAAAAACTAGAAGTGTTTTGCAACCAGCATTTTGCCCAAACAATATATCAGTATCTAGTCTATCACCCACCATACACATCTTAGAGCAACTTAAGTTGAATCTGCAAAAAGAGAAGTTAAATGCTGAGAAAAATATAAAATAAAACACAACAAACACTGCAGATAAAACTAAAATTTTTAAGCATTTAACTTTCTTACTTCTTAAGTAAAAACTCCATCATAAAGGTTGACGGTTTCCCCACCACAACAGGCTCCTTCTGGGTTGATCCACATATAGCAGCAACCATACACCCGGCACCTGAAATCCAACTTTTCTCAATTATGAGGCCATACAATCAAGTGGAATACTTAATTCTGCATCATTTAAGAATAAAATGGAGTTGACTAAAGGACCAGGCCATTCTTGCGAAGCAGTCATATGTCCAACTGCATCACGGTTGGTGGCAATGAAGAGGCATCCTGGATTTTCACGTATGCAAAGGGTTCCATACCTATTAGATGACATTGGAATATCAAAATATGAAACAAGCAAGTAATTAAATATATATGGATAAAATTCTCAATACAGGACCTGGCCGTCTTTGTTTCACCAGAATATAAGATGATGTTGGAGCATGTATATATACGATTTTGATGATTCTATCCACCTATTTGTAATAAATTAAACAGAAAAATCCACCTATTCACTTAAAGCATGCTAAAATTAATATGCAGAGCCTATTTTTAACATTCCAAGTCATTCACGGGACGGGTTATTCTGCTTTGGGTTAATTAACAATTAAAAAAACTACTTTAATACATCATCAATGTTCCCAAAGAAAAATAACTTGTTCATTACATCATTCTCACAGTATTGTGAAGTTATTAATCATTACAACAGTCCACAAATATATCCATAAAAATCTTTAATTTAAGCAGACTGTTGCGGATTAAAGAGATCTCTAAAGATCTTAAACACAGATTTACCCACTCTTAAATAACACACTTTCCTACTTTCCTTGCTTAGATAATTTTACTTATAGAAGATCCTAACTTTCTTGTTTCCCATGGATTTCACTTTAAATAAGGGGGGGCAACCCCCCAAGTAGGATAACACTATTCTTCTTTCATTCTCTTACTAGCAACCCCTTTGCTAACTTAGGCATCAAACTGTCTTTGTAACCCCCATATATGTTGCTGTGAGCAGGATCACCAAGAGGGGTCAAGATTTGGGCTTTCAAGAACCATATCAAGATTTAGGAAACAACCCATTTGAAACTGAAAGAAACTTCAGAACTTTCATGCTCTGAAGGCAAGCTAAAGATCATTAGAAGTTCAAATTACACCAGCTAATACTAGCAACAGGAATATAATTCTGATAGTAACAATCCTGTTTTGGGATTTCATATATCTATATGTCATGAAGGGTTCTGATTTCTGAACTAAGAACTTGATGACACAAGTCAGAAGCAACATAAACCAGAAGGTAAAGTTCTGAAGAGCAAACGAAAAGATTTTCTTACTGAAGCTTGTAATAATTAATGTTTGGATCTATACCAACCACTACAGCTCCAACCTGAAAGATTGAACCTGTCAGTTAAATGCAACCACTGATCTCAAAGAAGATACTCCAAGTAACAATGTGCAAGGTTACATTACACTCTTATCATGTTCAACAAAGCAGTTCTGCTTCAGGTCTATTGTTTTATTTCCATCGCCCTGCAATCAATGAATGATTCGGTGAGGAGGATAACTTCGGTGACAATCAAGTGATTTTCATTCCTCTGTCTTTGTCTAATTTGAACTTTGAAGCACATTGCCATTAATAAAATGGAGCCTAATAATAGACTTCATTATGATCACTTGAGTCAATCGATTGGCATAAGCCATAAGGGTTTCCTTTCTAACAACACACGCATAAGTACATGTTGTTTACCCCCAATTAGTTCCTAGTTCCTAACCAATCCAGGGTGAATAATCATCCAAACAATAAAATTTACAAACAAAAGAGAATATAAACTGAAACTAATCCAGTAGAACAGCAGTTCAAGACTCCTAAGTAGCTCTTCAAACCAAAAATTTCAATTTCAACAAGTATAAAAGAAAGGGCAGACAGGTTATAATTGATAAATATGCCGAACTTACAGGACCGCCAAAAGCTGTAAAGCCAGCAAGCCGCAACTCCTCCAGTATACCCTCCCCACCAATTACATAAACCTGAACATCGAGAACACCAATGGCAAAAATGTCGCCTAAGTCACAACTGTTTGTATGTAAATGGGTGACTAACTGTGACATCAGAAGTCCAAAAGGAAACTGAAAATGTAAAATAAAGAAAATATTTGCCATTTTTTTTTCACTAAAAACTACAAAAACATCATCCTGATTTCATTTTATTTAACGTTTTCAAAAACTGTACTACACTATGATTACTTCCTATACAACTTGTTATCTCTCTTATTAATACAGTTAGTTTACTGCTATTTCAGTTAGCCTAGCTGTTATTCAATCATCATCGAATGTACACTGAATATAAAGCTTGTTGATCATTCAATAAAATTCGGATTCAGTTTCTCCTCATCCCCGATTTGTAACAATATTTGAAATCAGCTATGATACACATCAGATACAATACTTACCTGATACGGTAATACAATTATTTTAAAATATACAGAATACAATATGTGTGTGATACATGTCTAGTATCAATATTCTTACAATATAATAAATATAATTGTAATTTTGATCAAAATTCATAAAACATAATAAATATATAACTGTAATTAAGTACATTACTAAAAAACAAGAATATTATAAATTATTGTAATCGTAAATTACTTCCTATTATTTACAAATAGGAATAATATCAATCTCATTTCTTTCTTGAAATCATGTATAAAGAAGATAATTCCATTTTTGGTTCATGGACAACGTTTCTATATATGTCTCGTGTAGTTTTATTAGATTTTCATGATAAAAACACACTGTCGTCTTTAAAACTAAGCAACGCTATAGCAGCAGAAACATTGACAGAAACGAAACCAAGCCATGGCATTACCATTCTCCATTCATAAATAACTAATAACTAATTGGCAAGAGATGAAAATGAACAAGTCACGCATTCGAAGAAGAAGAAGAAGAGAGAGAGAAACCTTGTTTTGTGAAGGGAATTCATTGACTTTCAGGTACATAGCAGCCGCAAAAGACGAGGAGAATATCTCATCCTGCGAAACGCAAAGCGAAGAATATTACTGGCACAACTCAGAGAACACCGAAGAAGTTAAAATTGAAAGAGAAAGAAAAAAGAGCGAACCGGCGAAACGGAAATTCCCAAGGATCGGAACTTTTCGGCGTACTGAGCGCGCGACTTCAAGGAATTGTTGGTGACGAAGACGAGCTTCTTGCCGTTGGAGCGAAGCATGTCGAGAGTTTGTGGAACGCCGTGGATGAGTTCATCGCCCTTCCAAATGACACCTGACCAATGCAAGGAAGCCACGTGGCGTGGTTCAATTGTTGAAAGGAAGTGAGAATGCAGAGTTCTATAGTGCTAGTGGATACCAACCGTCGCAGTCGAACAGAAAAGCTTCGACGGAATCGAAGAGATCTCTGAAGTTGTGCGGTGACAGAAGTTGGGGACTCATCGAAGAAGAAGAATAATCTGAGAATGAGAGTTTTATTATATATATATATAAATTAAAATCTTAAAGGATGGAAATTTAAGAAATTTATATATAGGAATCAAAATCATAAATTGCTCATTGTTAGAAACCAAAAATAACAATTTTAAATGTTAGAGAGATAAAAAAAAAATACAGAGATTAAAATAAAAATATGATCATTTTATAGGGATCAAAACATATTTAATCTAAAAATATTTGAAGATGATCACTCTCTTAGAGTTACTTTTATGCTTCACTAGATTCTTTATTTTTATTTTTTTTGAAGCAGATTCTTTATTTTTTTAGATAAAAAAATAATGGAGTGAATAATTACTTAAATGGATAAACGATTTTAGACCAAAAAAAACATTGAGAGAGAAAGTAATTAGATTTCTAAGTAAAATATAAAAGATAAATAATTCATATAAAAATGAAAACCAAAGCAATTATTAAAGAGTGTATATTTCCCATTATGTAATAGTATAGATAATATAGATTTATGTAATAGTATAAGTAGTATAGATTATTGTTAGTGATGAAAAAAATTAGGGTAATTTACTTTGTTAGTCTCTTTGTTTATTTTGAAGATTCAATTTAATCCCATTATTTTAAATGATTCAATTTAGTTTCACTTTAATTTAAAATAGTTAGATTAATCTAAACGTTATTAGGTTTGTTTTTGTGGTTTATGGTGTGTTGATGTAGTTATATGTTTGTCATTGGTCATCTGTAAGGTTAGTTTCATCCTAAATAACTTTCTTCTTCCCCAATATGTGCACATCTAGGTTTTGGATCCATTGAATCTAATTTGAGAATGTCATGCTCCTCCTGCACCTATACACCTCAATGTTAGTAAGTCACCTCAACTTAGCCGTCAAGTCACATTCCTCTTATGGTGATGGATGTGACACCCACTACGCACATGGCAATAATAAGGTATTCAAATCCATTGAATCACAATAGTCCATAAGTTTCAAAGTAATGTTCATAGAGTTCACAAATTACTATCATCTAAGAATTGAGGTATTGAAGAGTCCTCATGACATGACATCCAAATGTCTAAGATAATTATAACTTAAAATAGTGGAAATCTTATATTATGTCCACTAGTGTCACATCATATTAGAGTATAACGCAACACCTCATAAGGCTCGTGTCTCATCTCCCACATCATTATCAAGATGATCATTACCTACAAAACATCCAACATAAAACAACAGCAAAAAATAAAAGAAGTGAGAAACATTTCACTCTAATATATTCAACATATATATAAACAAAAACAATGTAATATTTCATAATTTATATCAAACAATAATATTCTCACAACTTTAATGTCCACACCTTCATATTAATAGACTCAAACTCCACATTCTCACTAGTAAGTTCCACCTCTTTAATAAAAACATAAGTAATAAATAACTCAAAGTTCCAATAACTCTTCCATGGTTCAATGACATACTCTCATGGCCCAAAAGCGATTACTCATGGCCCAAAGGTAATTACTCGTGGCCCAAAAATAATTACTCATAGCTTGGAGGCGAATACTCATAGCCCGAAAACAAATACTAATGACACATATCTCATACTCATAACACACATATCATACTTAATCGCTACACATGTTTCAAACTCATGACACATATCTCTTACTCATAATCATCATATCTCATTCTCAATCATTACACACATCTCATGCCATGTAAATTATCAATCAATCATGTCATCTCATTATGCATGTCGTAACATCAATTCATTCACATTCCCCATCACATTAAACTCTACGCACCTCTCTAAAAAAAATTATATCACAAAGGCTCTAATCATGCATAGTTCATGTACAAGACTCTATATGATATTTTATCTTATGGATTCAACTCATACTCATCCCATTCTCTTAACGCATCATTTAAATGTAAATCTCATGTATACATATCACCAACATTTCATTCTCATGTCACACATTATTATCATCTCACATCATATCATTTACCAATATTTCACACGTTGCACACAACATTCTCAAGTCAAACACCAACGTCTCATCACATTACACAAACATTGTCATATCACATCATGTATAATCACCTTATATCACAAATAAATTTCTCATGTTACACATAAACATGTTATATCATGAACATCACACAAAAAATATCTCATATTGCATACAAACTCAAAGCCTCAAATACAAGGTAACACAAACATAATCTTAAATAATCATCATAACTAATTCACAAATATCTTTTTTCTTTCTTGCTCTTTCTTAACCATTGATATAAGTCTTCCAAGCCATGTCCAAGAGTAAACATTTAAAGGGTAAAGCAACTCACCATTACAGCTGTCAAACTATCTTTTTTTTTTATCTTAAACTCCTATGACATTGTGGGTCTAAACACGATATATAGAGTTATACTTATAATAATAAGTTGATCTCAATTTTGTTAGAAATATAATACAATTATCCATAACTCCTATGTTGACCTCAAAAGTTAAAATCACACCTTTTTAATCTAAATCTGATAGCTTGACCTTCGCTTATTAATTTTATCATAACTTGAGTTCTATACCCCTTTTTTGGATGTTTTTAATGTCATTGAAAAGTTAAAATCCAAGGCTATAACTCATATGAAGACATAAAAAGTTAATTCAATCATTTATGACATTTTCAAGGCATGCAATGGGTGATGAATATCGTGACCACTTTGCTAGAGACTGGGAGAGATATTTTCGACATTGTTAGCTAGAGAGGGGAATTTCTGCATAGATGGACTTGCCAAGCTAGGGCTTCATATCCACTCAGTACAGTCTTTAGAGATCCGCCAGAGTTCATTACTTCTTTACTCTTTTTAGATGCCAATTGTTGTTATGCACAGGATTTTTTCAACTCTAATTGCACGAACATGCAAGGTGCTAAATGACCCTCCCCAAGTTAAATCATGAATTTCCCCAAGAATTAGATAAATAAACAAAAAGGATTGGATTAACCTTTATACCCAACATTTAATTTACATTCAACAAGAAGGCTTTCACTCCACCTTACCTTGATGAGCACTCACCAATGAATGCAAGATTCTAGGATGATTGTCTTCTTGATCTTTAGAGCAACTCCAATGAGAGTTGTTTGTCCCATGAAACAACTCAAGCCCTAGTTTCTTGCCATTGGAGGACTCTGACGTGGCAACATGAGTTGCTTGAAGAAGAGAGAGAGTTACTTCCTCAAGCAACCGTTCCTTACCAGATTTCAAGCAGATTTTATTGAACATATTTGGGAACATTTCGGAAATAATAATGATAAAAATTGTGAGGCCCCTTTTATTTTTTTTCTTCTCCTTCTCCCCGGACCCATTCTCATTTTTCTTCTTCATCACTTTGCTAGCCCTCTATTCACTCACTTCTCACTTGCTTTTCCCTGTGACCAATTTGGTGCTCCATTTCAACTTAAGGTGCTGATTGAAGGGTGGATTCTGGTCGAAATCGTGCGGAGCCTTTTTCCTCATCTCCTTTTTCAACTCTCTTCTTCTCCATTTCTTCCCGAAGCTCGATTTCCTTGAGTGAGGTAAGGGAAGTTAGTATTTTGTTCTTTTTCGCTATTTCTGGTTGTGGACGAATTCTAAGAACTCGTTAGATGCTTGTCGATGGCTGATTCGTGGCTGGATTAAGGAAACTTGTTATTTTTTGGGTTTCGGGGATTGTTGAGAAATTTTGGGGAACAGTCTTGATTGTTGTTGCATGTTGAAAAAGGTAGTAATTTTGAAATCTTGGATGCAAATGTAGTGTTTTGAACCGATTGCATGTGAAGTTTCTGGTCTTTTCGTAGGTCTTTGATGAATTTGTTCGAAAATGGTTGGCTGCTGTTGAGCTTCGCGCTGAGCGGGGTTCTTCGCGCCTGGGTGCGCGGCCATCAAGGGCCCTATTTGGTCAAGCCCGCTGAGCGCCATGATGAGTGCGCTGAGCCCGCTTGAGATTGTGGGTCTCTGGCTGGCCTGCGTTGGGCGTGACTTGGCCCGCGTTGGGCGCGATACCCGTTGTGACAGGTCTTGGTTCTTCTTTTGGGCGCTGAGCGCGTCCCTTGTCGCGCTGGGCGTGAGACTCCTTGGGAGTCTCTGCTAGATGGGCGCTGGGCGCAATTTGAATTGCGTTGGGCGCGAGACCAAGGGAGGTCTCTGCCTTCCCCGCGCTGGGCGCAGGGTTGTGCACGCTGGGCGCGTGAGACTCATTGAGTCTCTGTCTGGCCAGCGCTGGGCGCAATGGCCATTGCGTCAAGCGCGAGAGAGCCTTGGGTTCTCTGGTTAAGCCCGCTGGGCGCGGGCACACCTGTGCTGGCGCGCGGACCCCCTCGATACTCTTTGGTTGTACTGCGCTGGGCGCAACTACTAGTGCTTCGGGCGCGTGAGTGAAGTTGTATCATATGATGTGAAATTGTTGTTTATGCTGAGTTAATTTGAAATGGAGGAATCTATAGTAGATAATAGTATTGATGATGTTGAAATATATTAGTTGCATATTCTTGTAAGTTGATATGTGAGTGTATTAGTTGTGCAATGTTGTAAGTTGATATGTTAAGCTGAATAGTTGTGTGTTACTGTGTGTTGCTTCTGGATGTTGTAGGCCGAAAGGCTGAGGTGTTGTAGGCCGAAAGGCTGAGGTGTTGTAGGAGATCTCCGAGGTGATATGCGTGACGACGCATTTTGTGTGTATTGGTAAATCTGTGTGGAAATAACTGACTAGATGTTTATTGATAAAGCGTTGATGGTCAGAAATTTTGTTATTGTTAAAGATTTCCCATATGTTGTTTCTCTTTATACTAGCTTACCCTTTGTGTTTTCCATGTGGTTGGACTGTTATGATCGTACTATGTACGGGAGCAGAGCAGGGATAGGTGGAGGATTTGTGATGGGTCGGCAGCTGAAAGTTGAAGCTGATACCTATGGATGTTTTGTCTGTTTGTTCACTTGGCATAGTGACATGGATGTAATTGTTTTGTTTTCATGCCCTAACGCTAGTTGG